GGCTGCGGGACCGCAGTTCCTTGAAAGGTGGTGACTTCCCGGGGCGCCGCGGGGGAGCCGCCCAGCGACCCGGCGGGGGGGCTGCTCGCTGTCGGGCGAGAAGACGATGAGCCAGTCGCTGCGGTCCTTCTTGGCCTGCGTCGCGAGGGTCAGCCCCGGGCCCCGCTTGCGCTTCTGGGCCAGCTCGTGGAAGGACGTGATGGTCCGGTGGGGCGCCGGCTCCTCGCTGACGTCACTCCTCCAGCCTCCATCACTTTTCCCTGCGTCTGTCTTCCAGCCAGAATCAGTTATTCCTGTATTGGTCTTCCAACCGGAGTCTAATTTTCCAGGCTCCGCTTTCCAACTAGAGTTATTATTCCCACCGATTTTCCAACCAGAGTTATTGTCCTCGGGGATTTTCCAGCCAGCTTCCGTTTTCTCGGTGTCAATTTTCCAAATGGGGTTGATTTTCCAACTGGGTTCGGTTTTCCCAGGGTGGGTCTTCCCGTCGTCGGCCTCCGAGAGCTCGGAGGTCAGGAGGTCCTGCTCCCCACCCTCCTCCTCCTCCTCCAGCCCTGGGTAAGGCAGGTCCTGGCCGGTGGTCAGCGCATTGCAGTTGGAGTCCAGGCCAGGGCCGGGTGGGGAGGAAGCTCCGGAGCAGGAATCGGGAGAACAGCAGAAGCTGTCGGGAGAGCAGGCGCCAGGGCCTGCGGAGGCCAGAGGGGAGCCCTGCTCCGGGGGGGTGATGCTAGGCTGAGGGGGGACATCTTGGCCACCAGGGAGGTCGCGCGAGTAGACTGAAATGGGGGACTCGTCAGGGCTAAGATCTGAGCAGGAGCTGAGAGAGGAGGAGCAACCCGGGTCCGAGGGAGAGGCAGCCCCCTCTTCCTCCTGTGCTGGGTCCTGCCGGGTTTCTAGGCCTGGCCCGTGCTCCTGGCAGCATCGGCAGGGCACCGCTGGGCTGTTGGAATTGGCATCCACCAGGGTCCCGCTGCAGCGGCCCCGGCTCTCCTTGCCCCCTGCGTCCCCCGGGGGGAAGGATGTGCTCGAGGGCCCCTCCCTTAGCTCAGGACGGCGCGACAAATGCAGGCCCAGAGAGACGTGCTGGAGGTGGATGTGGTTGAGGTTGCAGAGTAAAGCCCTCTGAGGGGACAGCATGGTGCCAGCGGCGACGGGGTGGCCTCCAGAGAATCAGGAAGACCGGGCCTCTCGCATCCGCCTACCTGGCAACCGCAGATGCTGACCTAGAAGACAGGGATGGTGAAACCCAGCCAGTGAGGGTGCGGACCGCTAGGACACCGAGGTGACTGACAGCAGGAGCAGGCCTGGGAAGGCGCCGACTGCTCCAGACGATATTCAAATGAGATGTAAATGACCATCCACTGGCCTTTAGTTTCCTCTGCAGTGTTTGCAGGTGGAATCGAATGGAACCCCCCCGGGAGTGGCGCGGCATGGGGGGGGGGGTGGCATCAGAGAATGCGGCTGCGCTCTGGATCTCTGTGGGGGGGGGGGGGGGGCTTGAAAAAGGATGCGGTCCAGAATGGACCCTCGGTCCTCTTGGCTGCAATCACTCCCCGAGTAAGGGGCCAAGGGAGGCCCTGCCCAAATAGCATCTGAAGTGGGGGAGGAGAGGCGCTGCGTCTGGCTGGTGAATGCAGGAAA